CATCAGATCCCACAGATTAAAGTCACCATAATTCATCAGATCCCACAAGTCAAAGTCACTATAATCCATAGATGAGAGCAGGGACCATATAGTGAACCTTATAGTGAACTCATTAACTGACCGTTCAGAAAGATGATCACTGCTTTTTGCTCCGTTGGTCACATAACTCCTCCTCCACTGTGCAGTGCCTGCGCCATCTTTGTTATTAGTCGCCGCTGTTGGGTAGCGACAGCCTGTGGTGACAGCGGGCTGCTGTGACGGCTAATCCCATATTGATTTGAGAGGAGAGCTCTCCTGGCAAAGCATTCTGGGATATATCTGCTCCTCCAGTGACCATGGATGATCTACTTTTCAAGGTGCATTATGGGAAATTTTTAGTCCACTACTTTTACATCCACTAGACGTTTGGACACCCATTTAAAATGGCGTAACCACGTCATAGTGATTAGAGTGGACATTCGGACAGTCTATGTTCCAGAATAGTGTAACAAGAGGAGGAGGAGGAGAGTCTATCCATCAGCACCTGTGGTGAGATGGACCCCTTGGCAGAGGACAACGCTGGACCAAGGCTGGTAGGAGGAGCATCTGGCAGAGTTCATCCTGTCAGAGTCCAGGGAAGAGTGTCTGTCTCTGGGATCATCAAAATAAAAGCTGATTCAGGGTAAAATCGGACTGCAGCTCTTTAAACTAGAGGTGAGCCATACTGGGAGGTTTTAATCAATCCGATACCAATTAAATACAGGATCAGTATCGCCAATATCGATACTGATACTTTTTGCTTCCAAGCTTGGTGTATCATGGAACTGTTAAACTTTCTGCGTTTTTGTAATTTTTATTTTATTATAACAGTTCAACAATAATAATATTAATAATGTTATATTCATATAGTTTTTTTACTAATCCACCTCGTATATATTATATCTGTCAATCCTTATGTAATTTTGTTTGTATTGTGTGCACCTGCCTGTTTCTTTACTTCTATAAATGTCCCCGTCGTGGGATAAATAAAGGATTTGTTAATGTTAGCCCACTTTGATAACAGGTTTTAATGGGTTTATTCAAGGTCTTAATTAAACTTATGGCTCCAGTAATATATGACATATAACAGTTCATCTGACGGTGATCACTCTTATCTACCTAGATATTCTCTGGAGGTCTGAAACGCCTCTGTCAGTGACGTCTGTCTATTGTGTTTATATAAGCTTGTGGTGTTTCCACTGTATTTAACCTCAACCCATACAGCTGTTTTTTTCCTTTACAGTTTAAAATATAACCAAACGGCTCAGGAGCAGCAGCGTGGTTGTTTGTGTGTCGAGTGGAAAGAGAGTGGGCGGGGCCAGGCTGAGCCTGCTGAGCCAGTGAGGAGATGGGAGGGAGGAGCAGCAAACTGCAGTGACACAGACAGACTGGTGAATCTGCTGCAGTTAGTGCATGCAGGAGAGAATGAAAATTATTGATCTTGTTAAACGAATATTGTTTAATATCAATGCCCACGTTGGTATCGATAGTATCGATCCTTGGATTGATCCGCCCACCTCTACTTTAAACTGATCTCTGCATCGATAACCAATGTGTGGAAGTTGGAATGTATCAGAGCAGCCCGGCCTAATTCTGGACTTGATTCTGACAGAGAATCGGTGGGGGAGCTAAAGATTAGGGAAATGGTACAGAGACCTTCCAGTCTCAAAGAGCCAAAGATCATTAATGCAGATAAAAATAAGGCTGTTGGACGAAGGTGTGATGCTGCTTTAAACATTTTCCTGATTTTTGATTCCAGATTAAATGAGATCAAAGTCTAAAGACACACAGATCATTCAAAGTTTTCTTTCCTAAAGATCTTTTGAATCTTTTGAGCCCATTTCAAATATCTCACAAACAAAGTGACATGAAAAAGGACTTCCAATGAAACCTACAGGGGTGTGATTACTTTTGGATTGAGTTAGCTTCCCAGGAGGGCATATCTGGTGATCATGCTAAAGCAGCCTACCTGGAGGCAGCACAGTTGAGGCCTGACCGGTCCAAAGGGCCTGAGCAGAACTGGCAGCTTCAAACAGTGCAATGGGGGTTTGTTGATAAGATCTGTTCCCAGAGGTCTCAGCAGAAGATGGTTCTTTGGACTTTTTATGGGATAAAATCCCTGAAAAGGATAGTTTTTTGGAGAGTTGCAGAACAACAGGAAGCAGAACCTTTAAGCTTATTTCCAAACCAGATTGGATCAATGCAGGTTACAGTTTGACCTTTGCATAGTCTGATATCACTGCTGTTCAGCAAAACAGCAGAGAGCAGGAGGAGCTTAGAAAGGCATTAAGAGGAGCTGATGCTGCAGTCCAGCCTCTGAAGATCGGTCCGGCCGGCCATGGCTTACAGTCCGCTGTGTCTGTTTCTGCTGCTGAGCAGCTACGCTCTGGCACGTAAGTTTTTACCTTCACTAACAGAAACACCCGCACAGGTTCCTCGTCTCGATTTAACTTTTGGTCAGAACAGGAGGAAATCACCATAGCAACCAGTGTCTCAGCATTTTCTGGGCCTCTGGTTGGTTCGTTAGTCTGCAGCCTCCTCTTCCTCTGATGGACCTTCAGTGGGACCTCAACATTCCTCCATGTCTGGTTTAGCATCAGTCTTCCTGCTTTAACTCTGAATACATTTTTAAAACCCTCTAAAGGAAGCTCAGCCAACTGCAGCCTCAGCGTCTGGTCACTGAGCCAAAGAGAATAGAACCGACCCAAATGTGTTCGATGCATCTGACTGTTTTTCGCTGGACCTTAACTTTCATCTCAGCTCCATCATTTTAATCCTGTTTATCCTTTTGTTTTCAGAGGATGTCCAGGAAACGGCTTCATGTCCGAGTAAGTTCCCAAGCACAGCACACACTGCATGAATCTGTGGTTCTGACAGGGTCTGGTTCAGGAGCTGACTTAATGCAAGCAGGCAGAAATCTGCTGATGGATCAATGCTGCTCTCTGAACTCGGCCTGTTTGCTGAGATAGCAGCAGGATCTGATGGACCTATATAGTTCCTGCCTCAGAGGGGTTCAAAGGTGGGCTGTCCCAGGATGACAGGAGGACCGACCGGTCTGTTGACCCATGATGCAAGGCTAGGGATGCACAGGAGGGCATGAGGTCGCCTGTAAGGGTTTGACTCAACCATGCATTCAAGGCGAACATGCAGACACTGTTGTCTCATTGCAGTGGCTTCAAGATTCAAGGCCCAAAGGAAATACGTGTACCAGTACGTCGCAGACAGCCGAAATGGAGTGGTCGGTTCTGCCGGCCTGCAAAACGGCCTTAAAGTCACTTGTGAGGTAAGAAGCAGTTGAGCTGATAGCAGCGTCTATCTGAGGTCCCCTCTCTGATCCATGGTGTCTGCAGGTGGAGATCCAGATCCCCCAGATGTGCAGGTTCATCATGGTCACCAGGGACTGCTCTCTCAGCGAGGTGTCCACCATGGATGGTCAGCCTGAGCCGTTCTACAGCCCGGCGCCTGGCTCCGACGTCTTCAGAGCCAGCATGGAGAAGTCAGTACATAATCATGCAGGAACAGAACATTAACTGAGGATTCTCAGGATCCATGAGGAGGGGTAGGAAGAGCTGTTTGGTTGCTCTTCGTTTCTCAGAGCAAAGGTGTCATCCCTGCAGGTTGGATGATACCAACAGCAACCTTACTGATGCTCGAATGAGACATGTTAACCCGGTAATATAGGAACTTACTCTAAAGAGGATGTTCTGTTTTAGTTTTCCAGGGGAGAAAACCAACCTCATTGGTCCAAGAATAGAAGAGGATCAGAACCAATGACATAGAATCAGGCTTAGAGATGATAGGACTGGGTGAAAGGCAGTGGTCAGAAACATGGTCCATGTGCAGAAATTTGAGGAATCTTTGCCGCTCCTCATGGACATGGCAAGGACGAGGAAGTCAGAAAACAGGAAGTAATGCTGGACGACTGATAACAAAGGCTTTCAATAATCTGGCTGCATCTACAAGTTTGGGGCTTACTTAAGAAGGAGGACCACAGGTGGACTGAATGGGCAATCAGAGCAAGGGTAAGACAGTAATGGGAATGACGAGGCCAGTTTAATGAATATCTTAAGCAACAGGACTGCAGCTCTGCCAGACCTATTATTTCAGAAGGTTTTGGTTATCTGTGTCAGTCCAGCTTAATTGTGGTTTGTGTTTAAAACGATGGTAAAAAGGTCATTAAATGCAGCGTGTTTCTGCAGGAGTCCTCTGAGGGTCATAGTCCACTCAAACAGCCATGTGGAGGTCTACCCTGAGGAAGACGAGCCTGTCAACATCCTCAACATCAAGAGAGGAATCTTCTCTGCCTTCATGGTGCCCATCATGGAGGACGGACAGAGCAGTCTTATGGTTAGAGTCCCATAGTGACACCGGAGCTTAAAGTTATAGTGGAGGATTTTCAGAAATTTTAGGAAAGATCCGCCCTCTCCACTTAAGAAAAAGAAAGGCACATCCACAAAAATGTACCTGCTCCCAAGAAGGAATGCCTTTTAAACAAGTGTGAGAGTGTGCACGAGCACATTTCTCCAAGTGCACCCTCTGTTTAATAGTTGCTGTTTTACTTTCCAAAAGAAAATCTGCAGTTTCTCCACTATGTCCTTACGTAAGCATATCACCAGAATGACTGACAGTTAGGAGGACCACTGATTTGGCTGATCCACCCGGAAGGAGCATCCTCCACTACACCTTTAATCTAGTTCAGATTAAACCAGATGAATATGCAGTGAGATGGTGTAAGTGAGCACTGAGCTGATCTGAGTTGGTGTTTTCTCCAGAGCACCATCCATGGGCGCTGTCTGACAGCACACACTCTTCATTCCAGCCAGGAGGTTCGTCTCTCCAGAGACCTGTCCCAGTGTGACCAGTTCTACGGCAGGAAGCCCACCAGTAGCCCAGTAGCTCTGCTGCAACAGCTGGTGAGGAGCTGCTTCCAAAGTTTTGGTCCTGCTGCAGATGTTCAGGTAGAAATATCTTAGCGTCTGCACCAAGGTTTAGGATGAAAGCAGTTGGAGCCCCTCAGGGTGGGGCGGCACCCTGAGGGGCAACAATCATTTAGAGTCCAGAGGGTCAGGATGATCATCCATCCATCCATCCTCCACCCTCAGCCCACTGTAACCATGGTAACCACAGCCACGGTGACTCTGCAGAGAGGAACGCTGAAAAGTGGACAGTCCCCTTGTTTAAGTTGTCTTCTTGTCTGTCCACACCAGTCCATAAGGTGCGAGGGTCAATGGAGCTGCTGAAAAGCAGCCGCTGGGAGGAGTTCTTCCTGCTGCTGCTTTCTGGCTGCTCTGTGCAGAAATTACGACTAACTTAGACTCTAATTTCCTGGTTTCAGCAACACCCCATCTCCAAACTCATCAGCAGCTCTCAGAGCTGCAGATATCTGTTGGATAGCCGGGGGACACACGTCAGCACGGCCTCATGCACTGAGACGCACCGATACCTCCCCTTCTCCCACGGGTGAGGGTGGATCATGGCACATGTTTCCGTACGCCGCTGAAGGTTTCTGACCTCCTGCTTTTCTGTCGCAGGGAAAATGGAATCTCATCTGTGGTAAAGCAGGATCTTAACTTTCAAAGTGTGAAAAGGATCAGTAGCAGAGGTTTTGGTGAGCTTTCATGATTGGCAGCAGTCCCATTTTTGTTTTAATTTGGGAACTAAAACTTGAAGTCTTTGTCCTCAGATGTTGAGCCCCGGCAGGCAAAGCCTCTACACTTTGATGAACCGGATGATAAAACCGTAATCCGCACCAAGGAGGACATTCTGAGCATCCTGCAGGAGCTGGTAGCGCTAGCGAGCACAGATCAAGGCCAGAAGAGGACCAGCCTTTTCCACCAGCTGGTGTCCAGCATGAGGTCCCTGAGGAATGAGACTCTCAGCCAAACAGTAGCTGAGATGGTACGAGTGTCCAAGTGGCTGACCTTCCAGGCTCTGTTCCAGTGCGGAACGGCAGAATGCACCAGTGCCATCCTGCAGGTCATCTGGACCATAGAGGGGGTCTCACTGGAGGTAGATGCTCTGGTCTACCTGCTGGGTCTGCAGGCCAATCCTGATGCAGCACGTGTGCGAGATATGCTCAGCATGGCTCAGTACAAACAGAGCAAAGCCATCATGTATGCGCTGGCAAACACGGTGAAAAGGTGAGTAAAGGCCTCAGCAATAGATGCGTTTAAAGTTCATGGTCACAGTCACAGCGTTTCCTGCCCTCACAGCTACGAAAACAAATTGATGTTGTTTTGTTCTCCTAATCTAGTCTTAAAGTCTTGCTGCTTGTGGTCTGAAAACATCTGGAAAGAACTTTTTTTTGTAGGAAACGCAGAACATATGATTTCCTCCTTCATTAGGGGTGTAGAAATCTGTCCAGGGATCTGGAATGTCATGATAACCATGCTGGGTCAGATACTTGTCTAGTAACCATAGATTATCGCTACCTTTCAAGGTGCATTGTGGGAAATTGTGAGTACACAACTTTTTCATCGCCAAGACATTTGGAAACTCATTTAAAATGGCGTAACCAATATATAGTAACAAACTCAAAACGTAGGGCCCAGAATTCAAGCAAGACAGATGGTGGAACATTTAGAGTATGCTACAAAACTCTCTTTAATAAAAGCTCATGTATAATCTGCTGTTGTTGAAAACATACAGCGTAAATAGGAAACGGGAACAGGTGGATCTGATGAGGAACAGGGCAGAGCTAGACAGGTGAAGGAAATGAGCAATCAAGCCAGCCATCAGCGCCAAGATCATGACATATAGTGATCAGGGCGCACATTCGGACACGGCCTTGGTAGACCTTAGCATGTTGAGCTTACATTAACCGCCCATCACCCTGGGATACAAGATTTCAGCTACAAATGCAAATAAACTTCACAAACCGTTTAAATAGTTAATTATTAAACAATATAAAGTTATGCTGTGAATATGAGGTGACCCTATGACATCATCAGACCTGTTGTTTCTCTAAATATTAACATGCTAACACTCTCAGCTCATCATTCTGAACTGGAAGATGGTTTGAAACTTGAAATCTGTTGTACAACCCAAAAATGTTGTAAATCACAACATTTAACCTTTCCACATGCTATCCAAAGCTAATGATGCTACTGATGCTAATGCTAGTTATAGTTAGGTTTAGCATCTGGGACCTGATACATAAAGTGGTTCTGAAGCAGCTCTGCTTTGTGGACAGGTTCTACAAAGGAGGAGTAACTCCAGAGATCAAGGAGGTGTCAAAGTTCATGGAGATGATCTTAAACGAGTGCTCGGAGGACAACCGCGACTCTGAATCCCCTTCAGATCCTCAGGAGGAGGCCTTTCTCGTACTCAGAGTGAGATGTTTCACCAGCCTTTGCAATGTTTCACCAGATTACGGAAGTTTTGTCCGGTTCTTAGTGGAGTTTTCTTTTCCTCACCTGCAGGTTGTTGGTGTCATGGGTCGGGCTATGCAGGACGTCAGTCCATCGCTCATCTCCTCTATCCTGGGATGCATGAAGAAAACTAATATACCGTTATCAAACCAGAAAGCAGCCATCCAGGCCTTCAGGCTGATGGAGATCACTGATGAGGTGGCTTCTTCTAATTCACATGATGACATCACTGTGACATCACCGTAACACTGGCTGAGGCTACTATTGTTATCAGACCTCTGAGTGGTTTTTATATTTGGCCCGGCACAGATTCGGCGTTCCCTCCTGGAGGTGTACCGGGACCCTCAGAGTTCAGCTGACAAACGTCTGGCAGCCTACATGGTTCTGATGAAGAACCCGGACCAGTCCGTCATCAGAGAGATTACAAATGCTCTAAGAGATGAAAAGGATGAGCAGCTGAAGAGCTTCGTGATCTCCCACCTGCACAACATCCACAGCTCTGATGAAAATCCTGAGTGAGCATTTAGGTCCACCCTGGACAGGTCACCAGTCCATCGTAGGACACAGGCACAAAAAGTCACACAACCATTCACGCCCACACTTACACCTAAGGAGAATTTAGAGAAGCCAGTTAACCTAACAGTCCAGTTTTTTACTGTGGGAGGAAGCCAGAGTACCCGGAGAGAACCCAGGCATGCTCAGGGAGAACATGCAGACCCCATGCAGAAAGACCCTGTGTTTCCTGACAGGAGTTGAACCCAGGACCTTCTTGCTGCAGGGGTCAGGCAAACCATCTAGAGGGGGAAGCACAGCTTTGCTGGCACTGTTTTCAGTGGGAGGGAGCTGCTGACCCTGAATGATCGAAACATCGCTGGACAGTGGAAGGAATACACGCCTTCCATGGTGGAAGAAGAGATGGGGGCTGAGAGCCACATTTGTTCATCACCCACGTTGAATTCACAGTGGCTTCCTGAGTATCTCTAGATATTGTCAGGCTATCATGGCTGATTTGCCTCTCCAACATTGCTTGGAGGTCAGGGACAGTGGCCCCTGGATAGGCAGACTGGGGTGGTGGTCCCTCCAGCATAAGAAGGGGGGCCAGAGGGTGTGTTCTAACTACAGGAGGATCACACTCCTCAGCCTGCCTGAAGGCCTATGTCAGGCTGCTGGAGAGGAGAGTCTGATGGAGGAACCTCGGCTTCAAGAGGAGCAGTGTGGTTTTCTCCTGGCCCTGGAACAGTGGAGCAGCTCTGTACTCTCTACAGACTGCTTGAAGGTTACCCATCTAGGCCATATTTGTTTAGTGGGTTTTAAAAAGGGATTCAAATGTGTCCCTAATGGGAGTAGGGGTCCCTTTACTATGGGCCATACGGTCTCCATACAAGAGGAGCAGGAGTCTGGTCCATATCGCTGGCATTCACTTGGACCTGTTCCCAGTGCATTTTGGACTCTGACAGAGCTACCATCTGTTAGCGGTGCAGTCAAGGGGGTCTGGTTTGGTGACCAGTGGATTTCCTCCCTGGAGACTTTTCCACTTCAGGTTGGAGGACTTTAGTAACTTGGTGTCCTGTTCACTGATAAGGGGAGACTGGAAGTGGAGATCCATAGACGGATCGGTGCTGCTGCTTTAATCCAGACACTGCTCCTTCTGCTGTGGTTCAGAGAGCTGAGAGAAAAGGCAAAGCTCTGATTTAGCAGTCGGTCTACGTTCCTACCCTCACCTATGGTCATTAATCTGGATCAGGACCCAAAGAACCAGATCCTGGATCCAAGCTTCCTCTGCAGGGAGGCTGAGCTTTCCCTCAGAGAGAGGGTGAGGAGTTGGGTCATCAGGGAGAGGCTCAGAGTAGAGCTGCTTCTCCTCCAGAGGAGTCAGCTGAGGAGGATCAGGCATCTTAATCAGACACCTCCTGGACGCCTCCCTCTGAGGGGTTCTAGTGACATCCTACCAGGAGGAGGAACAGAAGAAGGACGAGGTGACGACCAGGACACCATGGCAGGACTTTGTCTCTCTGCTGGCCTGGAGTGCCTCAGGCTTCCCCCACCAGGAAGTCTGGGAGTCTCTGCTGAGGCTGATGCCCTAAAGATCCAGTCCACGATGAAGCGAAATAATAAAAACAGGAGTAAATCTTTATAAATATGAAACACAAAAAGAATAATGACATTTTCATTATAGATACATTACCCTAAACTCAGGTCTGTCTGGACCTCCAGGATACCTTGACAGGTTTCCTCTGTCTTTTCATTTAATTAGCTGTTTAGTAAATAAACCTTTGGCCGATTGAGGAAGTATCTAATCTTTAATGGGTTCTGCTTCCTGTTCAGTCCAGTTAGTTTTGTCTTCATATGCTTCTTTGTAAAGTAATGAGAAAATGATTTAACGTCACTCTCCTGTCTCCAGAATTAAGGAGCTCATTGAGACATTATTGAGGGACAAACTCACCACCACAAACACTGAGTTCAACCGTTTGTCAAAGAACTACAAGCTCAGCTCCCAGCTGGGCTCCATCCAGAGCAGCGTCATCTTTGATGGCAGGAACACCCTGCCAAAGGAGCTGAAGCTGGAGGCCGCGTTGAAGGCCTTCCATCAAAGCTATGACCTGTTTGAGGTTTGATTAGATCTTTTCTTCATGATGTACCAACAGTAGGAACGACTTTCACCAACAGCCCTCCTTGTAGGTCGGACTTGAAGGAGCGGGATTTGAACCAACTGTCGAGGCTCTTTTTGGGAAGAAGGGCGTCCTTCCTGAAACCTTCTCCAGACTCATAAATTTTGCAGGCGAAGGTGCTCCAATGTTTCGAGAACTTCTGGAAAGGATTTCAGGAAGACAAAGCAAGAACAGGAGACAGGTGGTGGTGCCTTTGGATCCATTGTCTCGAAAAATGAATTGGATCCTTTATGAAGACGGTTTGTGAAATAAATGCTGCGGGTATCTCCTCAGGTTCCAGAAGATCACCTGACGGCAATCATAAACCACTTCCAGAAGCTCCTTCAGGATGCTCGGTTCTCTGCAGCTCCAGAAGCCACTGCCTTTCTCAGACTTCTGGGAAATGAAATTGGATACATGAAGATGAGCGAAATAAGACAAATGTTGGAGACTCTATTCATGTACCTCCATGTTTTTATCCGCGTAATACCTTCACAGGTTAGACTTGTTTTCTGTTGTCACCTTCAGCTTATTCATAGCATTCATTTTAAGTCCTGCAGAGTTTTGGACCTATAATCATGAAATCGATGAATTATCCAAACTAAGATGATCTAAATAGGAACATTTGCATAGAGTTGAAAAACAATCCGAAATGTGGGAGAAAAGAAATGGAAAGTAATCCTGAAATTATACTTTAAGAGCCGCTGTCGGTACAAGATCTGCTCGGGGCCCCGCACCTTCTTATGACGTCACCATTAGGCTACTCCACTCGGACAAACCGTATTGCACCCGTTTCTTAAGAATCAGATCTTTTATGGAGTCTCAACATATCATTACCTATATTTGCTCTTATTTTACATTTTATCAGCCATCCAAAGTAGCCGAATGTAGAAAACAACCATTGTCAGTCTTGAAGGAAAGTAGCCTACTGCCTTCTAAGATAGACTGAGCTCTGCCATTTAATCAAGGAGACACAAAAAGTCTCAGAGCTTCCTCTTCTTTTTATTCAGATCTGAGGTCAGAGGAGGAAAAATGGAACATCTTACAATGAGTTTCATGGAGATTTTAGATGAAGAAAACAGTTATTCTACTTGTAGAAAATAAACGGCTGTTGTTGACAGAAAGTTTAAAGTAGTGTAGCCTAATATGGCTAACTGATCGAGCTAAAAGAGGCTAACCTGTTAGCTACTGAGCACAGCTAGCCAAAGCGCTACCCAGCTCACCCCCTTTAAGCATGATCTAACAGTTAGTTTGTTCACAGGAAATAGATTTTTTCGGTTGTGTTATCAATCAGGTAAAACTCGGCACAAGCTAATGCTACAGATGCTCCTGACTTGGCACACGCTAACGCTACAGATGCCCCTGACTCGGCACACGATAACGCTACAGATGCTCCCCACTCGGCACAAGCTAACGCTACAGATTCTCCTGACTCGGCACACGCTAACACTACAGATGCTCTCGACTCAGCACACGCTAACGCTACAGATGCTCCCGACTCGGCACACGCTAACGCTACAGATGCTCCCGACTCGGCACACNGCACACGCTAACGCTACAGATGCTCCCGACTCGGCACACGCTAACGCTACAGATGCTCCCGACTCGGCACACTAGCGCAACAGATGCTCCCGACTCGGCACACGCTAACACTACAGATGCCTCTGACTCGGCACACGCTGACGCTACAAATGCTTCAATTCAAAATGTCAGAAATGGCGTTGAGTTCCAGGTTTTATTCAGCAGCCCAACAAAGCCTTGTTTTTGTTTAGAGCACATGCAAATAGAAACGGATAAATGGGTACACCCCTCTGGAATGGGGGTCGTTTGGCTTCTTTGTTAGCCTGCAATGCCCCATACCTGTCTATGTCTCTGAAAGGGGGGTCATTAAAGGGAATTGTTGGTCTGGCTGAACAGACAAGCTCCTCTGCTCTCCTGTACAGGGGCTGGTGCTGCGATGATAGCGGGAAGGGACCCTTGGATTTAATCTTACAATCTTACTTTCAGCTATGAAGAACCAATCAAAAAGAAGTTCTTGATTTAGGATGTAAAACGAAACTTTTAGAAGTAGCAAGTTCGAACATTCAAACATTTGCTGCACCCTTTCCTCCAGGGGATCCTGTTTAAGCAAACATCTCTCTGCTTCTTATGCACCATAAGGCCTTCTTAAAGCTGACCTCCAGCACTGAAAACGAGATGTTTTTCCACTACATCTTCATGGACACGTCCTTCTCTCTACCCACTGCCTCTGGTCTTCCTCTCAAGTTTTCCTTGTCTGGAGTGTTGGCCCCTGGTGCCAGAGGAGGCCTGACAGCCTCAGCAGAGGTAAGTTAGTCTTTCTCCCTCGTTGGAAGGCAGTTCTGGTTCTTCATGCTTTTACAAGCTCCTTTCTTTTCCCTGCAGACCGATGTGTCCTTCAAGCCTTCAGTAGGGTTGGAACTGATCACCCAAATGGGTGTGCACCTCCCAGACTTTGTGGAAACAGGAACTGAGATGCACAGCAGTCTGTACCATGAGAGCTCATTTAATGCCAGAGTAAGTGTGAAGAAGAACCAGATGAAGCTGTCCATCCCTGCTCCAACGTCCAGCAGCCAGCTGCTTAGCATCAGGTCAGCAGTAGCTTTGATGGGTCACACCAAACTCTTCCCTTGGATGCTCACTCGGTCTTCACTCTTTTTTTATCTTGGTCTCTGGATGCAGGAATCAGCTGCTGTCCGTCTCCTCCGGCCAAACCAAGCCGCTACCGTCGCTGGTAGAAAATCAGGTGGACTCCACAGACTGCCAGCCTCTGATCACAGGACTCAACCTGTGCACCGTGGTCAGATACTCCAACGCTTCCTCCGTGGAACAGGCTCCTTATTTCCCTCTGACTGGAGAAGCTCTGTAAGAGGAGCCATGTTTGCTTTTTACTGAAGAAATCCTTTGGTCTGTGCAATTTAAACATTAACCTACAGCGGGGTCAAAGTGAAGGAAATGTTTTCCTTTGTTTAAGGTTTGCTGTTGAGGTCCAGCCCACGGGGAAAGTTTCCAAGTTCGTGGCCACCATCAGCGACGAGACTGTGAGGGAGGGTAAAAGGGGCCGAACAAAAGTGGAGACGCTGAAGCTCAGCCTCAGGACAGAAGGTGTGGCTCCACCATGAGATGTTAGAAGGAGGTCAAAACTCAAACGTTTGGTGAAAAAAATGATCTCCTTTTAATTCCCTTTACCCTTTAACTGATTTATGAGTGCTGACTTTCATCCGTCCAGGCCTCAGAGCTGCGAGGATCCACCCTTTCCATTATAAAAAAGATATATATCCATTATCTTGTTTATTTGGATTTGGATTTGCTGATTCATACTAAGATGAGTTTCAGAAAAGGTTTAGAAAAGTTAGCAGGAGTCGCGTCTGACCTGAGAATAAAACCATCTACGGCATTAAATCCTTTCAAGGAAGATTATGACTAAAATATGTCGCCCTTAATTATATAGCCCTATATTCACATCCCAGCAAAAATATAGTTTACTGTTTTTCCCCATGATTAAACTTTTCATGGTAAAAGATGTATTTGCTGAGAATTAAAAAAGAATATAAATATATCAGAGAAAAGGTCAAAACAGTCAAAAAATAGACTCTTCGTGTCTACAAAGTAGAAATTAAATGATTAACCTGAGCTCCTAAATGCAAAAATCTTATTATGAGTAAAAAATAAACGATCAATCTCAATGCAAAATGTTAAAATCATAATACAAACATGTTTCACACAAGTTCAGCTCTTCAGAATTAGGGTCAGTCAAAGCTCATCTGACCAGGTGGAGGTTTAATATCAGCGCTCCGCTTCCCCAACGGTAGCTGAGATAATAACCCCATCATTGGAGCTCTGAAATATGAAACACAACAACTAAAACAGCTGCAAAGTACGAGTGTCTAAGTGGGAGCGGGTCGTTTGGAATGAAATTATAGTTCTCATACATCTAGACTCTTTCTCAGTGATTATTTCATAACATTCTGTGTTATTTCCAACTATAATGTCTTTGTAACGATATGTGGAGACCTTCTCAACCTTTCTGCTGGGATTGAATTAGAGAAAGACAAACTCTATCTTTCCAGAGCAGGGCTGGACAACATGACATGACAGAAAGTTAAAATCAATCCACTGGACTTTGTTTCCAAGTTTAAAGACGTTTCTCTTCCATCCAGGAAGTAGTACAGTAGCCCAACAAAGCCTTGTTTTAGTTTAGAAAATATGAAAATAGAAACAGATGAACAGGTCCACCCCTTTGGAATGGGGGTCGTTTGGCCTCTTTGCTAGCCTGCAATGCCCCATACCTGTCTATGTCTCTGAAAGTGGCGTCGTTAAAGGGAATTGTTGGCCCGGCTGAATGGGAGAGGTCTTCTGTTCTCCTGTGAAGGGGTTGGGGCTGCGATGATAGCGGTAGGAATCAAATCATGCGTCTGTGGAGAGGTCAGTGGCGGCCGGCCCATAGGGGGAGCTGGGGCACCGCCCTCCCTGATAAGAAGAGAGAAACGTAAAATATATTTTTAGAAATTAACTCATAAATGTCAGTTGTACTCTCTAGAGTGTGTACCTATAAGCAAAACAAATTATATAAACTACATTTCCCTATCTACTGTCATTAATTTGTGGATTTCCACAGACAGACTCCTACCGTCTCTGTTCTGGGGGCTGTGATCAGACAGCCCCACATTTGCAGAGAATCTGTCAATCATGTACTATTGCTAGGTGAATTTAATGGCCAATCAGCGTCTCGGAATTTTATGGTCTTGGGGCGCTGAAAATACTGCACTTTAACAGGCTTCTGAACCCAAGCGCAGGTGCAGACAATTAGAGGGAAGATGGCGAATGTAACGAACGAGATGCAGCTTCCACCAAATTCGGTGAGATCCTTATTTATCTACCGGTTTGCCAGAAGAACATCCCTGTTGTAGGATATGAACATTTCATGTCATGGTTATTGTGACTGTGACGAATCCACCTCGTCGCTTTAAACAACCTCTCTAACTTTGCGCGCCACACACACATTCCTGTTATACTGTGTTTGTGAGGACCAATACACTCGCGCTGAGACCAGTAGCTCCATGAACTTAAAACACACAAGCTGTCCTGGTTACCTGCTGGCGTATTGAGGGTGCACACTTAATATTTCAGTGGGGTTAGCCGTGTGTGTGTGTGTGTGTGTGTGTGGGTATGTGGGGGGTGTGGGTGTGTATGTGTTTATGCTACGGGGCCTTTTCATCTTCAGTCTGGCTGCGTCTTTGCTGGGTTCAAACCCAGTTTGGTGTAATTGAATAAGTCAATGAATCTGTGTAAAAGAATTAAGTTGTAAAAATTATTTGTTTGTTTTTGTACATCAATTGTTTGTGGAGGTAATATATGGAAAAAACTGATTAATGAGAAGAAATCAGAAATAAGAGAGCCTGAGGTGAGGGGCTTAAACTATTTAATGAGGGCTGTGGGAAGAAAAGCGGCAATTTTTGTTTTCTGTTTCTTTGTTTCATTGCTGGTAACTGGAGGGAGGCTGAGGCCCAGAGGATCTTGTATATGTTTAGTTTCTTTTGCACCCTGTTTTGAGTTTTTGAGCACAATAAATCACCAACACCGGTAACCCGACTGAGCCTGGATTCTTGGAGGCCAAAGAACCCCGTCACAGTGACCCAAATCATCACTGTTACTGTTATTATATAGTAAATTAAATCATTACTGTTAAATTGTATGTATTGTCCAATTGTTTATTTGAATTCTTATTCCGGATTATTTGGAGACATACACTAGGCTATATCAGCCCCACCAAAAATATTTTTCACCAGCCGCCACTGGGAGAGGTTGTTTGGTTTCTCCAATATAAAGATCAGAGCATTCCTCACTGCATTTAACTGCAGACACCACTCTGCTCAGATTAGGTCTTTAGGATGAACTAGTCTCTGTTTAAGGGTCTGTTTGGTTTGAAATGTTCTGGGATTTTGTATTTGGAGAAAATCCTCTTGAGTTTTTCAGAGACTCACAACATATGGGATGGAGATCTTTTTGCATTTAATCTTCTCATTGTTATGTTCTGCTGTGTGTCTTTTAGATTTCCTTGTCCGTTTCTTTTTGCATGTTTACTAAACAAAAACAAAGCTTTGTTGGGCTACTGTATAAAACCTGGAACTCAACGCTATTTCTGACTTTTGGAATTGAAAGAGCTTCCTGGATGGAAGAGAAACATCTTCAACCTTGGAAACAAAGTCCAGTGGATTGTTTTTTTTTTTTACTTTTTCAGAATTACTATGAATCTTCATCAGCATCCTGCCAATGTGTTTTCTTTTTCTTTGCAAAGAAAATGAAATGCCAACTAAGTGAAATCCATCAATCTCCATTTGTTTAACTAGACTGTAGAGTTAAATTCCTTTCTACCACAACACATGGTACAGTTAGATCACCCGACCAGAAGCAGCCCAGTTCAGGTGTGACATCATTCTGGATCCGAGCTTTGATTTCAGGAACAAACAGGACGTTTCTTTATCCAGCAGTTCTCCCACATGTCAGTAGCTGTTAATGAAACCTTAGAGCTAAAAACACAAATCTAAGATGTCTTCATGAATCATTGAAATCATGATTATACAGACATTTATATGGTTTGACACTGACGGCCTCTAGGGGTCGTGTCAAATACTCTGACAATTACTGTTTTAATGTCATGATCACCCCATAATGGAGCTCTGTGAGTTTTAGCTTTACTTCCATAAACCAAACAGACTGTTTGAAATAGAAAGATTATAATCTGTGAAAATCCTGAGTAGTGAAGCTGTGAGCTGAAGATGGTGGGGAAGCTGTTAGAGTCGCCTGGATTACATTCATCCTAACCGTGTAATCTGTGCTAATAAGTTCAAACGTTAAAGTCCCAGATTAACAGATTTTAGCTGAACACTAACTACAGAAATGCACAACTGGCCCTAATGAAAGATCAAATAAGCAAAACCATGAAGCTTAAATATAGCTTTGTCTCCATAGTTTAGTGATGAGTTTGGTTGTCTGCGTTTAGGTGAAGAGCCAATGGAGGCTGCAGCATCGGTCAAATATAACCACCATAAAAACTCCATCTCCTCCGAGCTGCTCATTCCTGACTGGGACCTGGAAGCTGGCGTCAGCCTGGATGTGACCAGAAGTGATGGAGACAGGAGGAAGATGAGAGGTTTCACTATTAATGTGAGCAACAAGAACATCCCGCAATTGACTTTAGTGGGACGTGCGAGGTCAGTCATCAAGAACTTTATGAATCAACCAATGAACAGATCGCCCTCCTTTGTCTAAGCTCCCATATTACATTGTCTAAATGTAGACATGAAATGATGAAGGAGATCATGCTGCAGCTCCAGATGGACATTCCCTCTCTGAAAATGGATGCATCTGTCACTACGATCCTAAGGAAGGATGAAAATGTTCTGGTGGACTTCGAATCAGCCCTTCAACTTCCTAATGCTTCATACCTTCAGAAGGCATCTCTAAAATATGGTAGAACATCTGCTGTTTATTTAGTCTGACACCTGTTATTATCTCTGCTGCTCAACATCTCTTATAACTTGTTTTTCTCAGATGATCATAAATTTCAGGTAGAACTGAATACAGATCTAAATGCAGAGATAAAGAAAATGATCCCAAACGGAGAAGAACATCAGAGGAATCTCCAGAAGCTCGTTGATGAAATCTTGGATCAGAAAGTCGCAAAGACTGACATGAAACTACGACACATCGTCACCAAAGGGATCCAGGTTATAGTGGATGAAGATGGATGGATTGATGATGGATGGAAGATGGATGGATGGTTGGATGATGGATGGATGGATGATGGATGGATGATGGTTGGATGGATGATGATGGATGGATGGATGATGGTTTGATGATGGATGGATGGATGGATGGATGATGGATGGTTTGATAATGGATGGATGGATGATGGTTGGATGATGGATGGATGATGTTTGGATGATGGATGGATGGATGATGGATGGATGAGGGATGGATGATGGTTGGATGGATGGATGATGGATGGATGATGGATGGATGATGGATGGATGGATGATGGATGGATGATGGATGGATGATGGATGGATGATGGTGGATGGATGATGGATGGATGATGGATGGATCATCGCC